CCGGTGAGTTTCTGTTGCATATCCAAGACTGAATTTACAATGAAGGTGAAAACACACATATGCATATATTAGTAGCCAGTGGGATATTAGCAGTAGTGGTGGAAGTAGAATTTAGATTGTAGTAGTGTTAGTGATATGCAATTAATACATACGTGCACATAGGTATTATAAGTAATGATAGTATGAGGGCAGTTATGGTGATATGGATAACACCTATAATTATAAGTAACGATAGTGTAAGAACAGTGATGTTAGTAAGGATATAATAACACTTAAGTATTACAAAGACTGAGAATATAAGGATAGTGATTGTGAATAGGATAATAACAGTGACACTGACGGGATCAACAGCTCTCCCACCAAGTACCTGACCTTCACGGTAACTGAATTAGCATCATCGAACCCGCACCAGATGTTGTCACTCGAGCAGTAGAAATAAGGCTCGTACATTCGTGGGTCTGTTTCGACTGTGCACGTCTGGTCCTGTCGAAGGCGCTCGCAGATCTGAAGGAGAAAGATGCTTAAATATAGAGTACGTCTGCTCTCTTTTTTTCTCGTTTTAGGTAGATGGATATGCAGATAGGTATTAACATCTGAATGTAGATAGGTAATGCTATGTTCTTATAGATGTAGAACGATAACTGGTTTTATAGTACAAATAGGTATGTGTGTGTGAGCTATTAATATCTATAGTGGTATAGATAGACAATCATTAGTAATCATATAGACGTTAATAATCATATATATAAACGTTAGTAATACTCATGTATATATATAAATGTCTATCACTATTCCCTGTTATTTTATCATTACCACTTCCTCCTTATTAACGCCCTAGATCAGATTGAGGTGGAAAATTTCAATGAAGAAAGCACGATGGAGGACAATCTGAAAAAACTGTTTTCCCCTTTTGCGTTAAGGACGATCACTGAAGGGACAGGGACTTTACCTCATTGAAGCCGAGGGTCCCTGGAATTCGGATATAAGGGCCAGCCGGACCAGGCTTTGAGGCGGGGGAGAGCATTCCGTTTTCGTTGATGTTGTCCAGGGTGTAGCAGCGGCCGTATTCAGGGATGCCCATGATCAGCTTCTCCTTAGGGACTCCGAGAGAGAGGTAGTAGTTCACGGCGAACACCTGTAAAAAAATGGCGATAACCGAAGGAAGGAATCAACTACTGAACGATACCATTTTTTCTTTCTTCTTGATGTATTTTTAAAAATTTGTACGATAGAAATTGCAACGGAAAGGGAGATACTTATCTTTATCATCTAAATGCACGCACGAACTCCTGCGCGACAGACAAACTATACACCAGATTACATGTTCATCAGATATGTTCAGAACAATTGCCTACTATTAGACCCGTGAGCACCGCTTTGAGCACTCCTACATTTCCCAAGAGCGACCCTTCGTTAGCCCAGAAGTCCTTACCACGTTGAAGAAGGCCAGGTCCCCGGCGTCGCTGGGCAGGCCGCACAGAGGGGCGTTGTGGTGGGTGGTGTTCTCCCAGGCGCCGTGGAGATCGTAGGACATGAGGTGCACTTGATCGAAAAGCTGCGCCATCTGTTCCACGTGGTAGGCGGCATCGACCGTGGGCTTTCCAGCTGCCACCGCGCCCGTCAGCATGAGGGGAGGGTTGAACTGATCGAAAGCGGTGCGAAGTTCCTGCAGCAGGATGATGAAGTTCTCCTGAAAACAAACAAAACAAAAACAAAAAAGGTCATCGCTTGCCGTAAAAGTCTCTCCCTCGTTCACGTAGCCAAGAAGCTCTCAAGGGCAAAACCATAACTTTCATTTTCTTTTCACTTCGTCTTTTACACTCGACTCCGACTGGAGGGCAGTACCCACCTTGTCTTCAGGAACGCCTCCTCGCGCAGCTGGGTACTCCCAGTCCATGTCCAGTCCGTCGAACTTGTGCTTCCTAATGAGGTTAACGCTGCTGTCCACAAAGGTCTTCCTCTTGGCGGGATCGCCGGCCATCTGCGCGAAATATTTACTGCTAAATCCTAACTAATGTGTGTGGTCACTTGTCTCTTTGCAAATCTGTTCTGTATAAATGAACAAGTCACTCGTCTCTGTAGGAAATCGGGTGTGCAGATCTAAAAAAGAGTTGTACATCCTTTACATTAGATTTTAGTGGTGCTTTAAATAACGTGTGTCTACTTGTTATTGTGGCTATATTTTCATGACATTATATGTGAAATCGTGTGGTTATTTAGTTATGAAATATTCCACGTACCACAGAGTAATCTTCAGACCCCTCGTTCCAGCCCCCGACGGCCAAGATCGCCTTCAGCTCCGGGTTCTGTTGCTTCAGGTCCACGAACCTGTCATAGGCACAGTTGTTTCCTCCATCCGAGGGACACAGTTCGTTCCAGACATCCAAAACCTTTATTAAGGGAGAGATTATTTTAAAGATATTTCCGTATTTGCTATGATTTTTTCCCCTCTTCCTCTGAAACTAAAAGATGAAAAAGATATAAAGATCAATTTAGAAACCTGAAACTTGTCTTAAATCTCTCTCTCTCTCTCTCTCTCTCTCTCTCTCTCTCTCTCTCTCTCTCTCTCTCTCTCTCTCTCTCTCTCTCTCTCTCTCTCTCTCTCTCTTCGTCTTTTTCTTCTTCGTCATCCTCTTCTTCTCTTTCTCCCTCTTTCTCTCTTTTATTCTCCTTCACAATCACTAAAGGCTTATTCTTCCCCCTTTCTTTAACCTTTAAAAATGATGAAAACTTAATCTCTTCTATTCCCTTTTCCTCTTTCTCTCCTTTATTTCTCCTCCCCCCCCCCCTCTCTCTCTCTCTCTCTCTCTCTCTCTCTCTCTCTCTCTCTCTCTCTCTCTCTCTCTCTCTCTCTCTCTCTCTCTCTCTCTCTCTCTCTCTTTCCCCGTTTCTCTCCCTCTTCCGAGCCAAAAGAAAGGGGAACAAATCTAAATACGGAATTTCTGTACCTCGATTTCCCAGGTGTGGTTGCTCAGGCCCGCGAAGCCGAAGATGACGTGCGTGCAGAGGAAGGGGTCGATGTCCTCCACGTCGAACTTGCCATCGCCAGGTCGCCACACGGACCAGGAACCGAAGTAACACACAACCTTTTCTGTAAATGTAAATGGGGAGTCGTTGTGTGAATGTATATCGTAGGTCTCCGTTGTCGTTTTTTTATCAGTGTCTTTTTTACCGTTGTGTTTGTGTGTGTGTGTTTTTTTAGTTTTAGTGTATGTGTGTGTGTGTGTGTGTGTGTGTGTGTGTGTGTGTGTGTGTGTGTGTGTGTGTGTGTGTGTGTGTGTGTGTGTGTGTGTGTATGTGTGTGTGTGTGTGTGTCTGTGTGTGTGTGTGTGTGTGTGTGTGTGTGTGTGTGTGTGTGTGTGTGTTTTACTTTTCGTATATTGGTTCATCGTTTGGTTTATGTTCGTCTTTTTTGTATTAATGCTTTTCGAGCATTCTGTTCCCTTTTTTACTCGACTTTTTTGTTTTTCTTTGTCTTTAATACACTAGTTATTATCATATAGTTACAATTGTAATATTGGCTTTGTTTTGTCTCTCGGATTTTTCGAAATCGTAGAATGCGTTATTATATATTCAGGAAATATGCATATTCTTCTAACCTAATGTGCGTTTCTCTCTTATCTATAGATTCATCGACCTGTTTAATCAAAAGTTGTAAATATTTTGTTTTTAATCCGCCCAGGTAAACTCGACATCTGATATTAGATGTATTGGATTTTGTGAAAAACATTATCTACTAAGCACACTTTCCGAAACCAACTGTATAAGGGATATTCCTATACAATGTATATTGCCTTTACTAGCACAGTGGTTTCCCAGCCAAGAACCAGGTGATTGTGATCGAAAAATATTTGTGATAAAATTAAATAACGATGATACTACCATAGGGAGACTATTCTATAATCAGCGAAGAGAATGGAGGTCCTGTTTGAAAATTCGTATCCAATTATAGATATGACCACGATTTATAATACAAATGTTAATGACATTATTATTAGCACTAGTATTTATGGATTAGTTATCAAATTTCTCACTCGTCTGTGATGAAATATTAGGTTTTGTTCCATAACCATTAGGACTCATTTACATAAAGTCCGTAAAATAAGTCTAAAGGTTTAAGTCAATTCGATATAATGAGCTCCCATGCACTACCATAAAGGAATTGGGGACATTTGATTAGAACTGGCTACGCGTGCTGTTTATTGAAGTTTTGTTTTGTTACTTTTGTTTACTCACAGATGGTTCCATGAGCTCTCAGCCACCAAGAGGTTAATTAATAGACCCTATGTGACCTCACCTCATACCTCCTTTCCTTGAATATTCGTGAAACAAATATACATTTTTTATAGGATTAAGATCGATAGAAGTAGTAGTTTATTATTATTATCATTATTATTACTTCTATTATTGTCGTTATAATTAATGTTATTATTATCATTATTGTTATCTTTATTATTATGATTATCACTAACAATGCAAATAGCAATAAAAATACGATCAAATCTTTCCCAAAAAATCTGGGAAAAGGATAAGCAGGTGAGATAGATAGGATTAGTAATCGACTCTTTAGTGACTAAAGCTTAGTGATCTAAGTTTAAACAAAATTTAACTTAAATCACAATGGACATGACATTCACAAACGTACCTTTTGGTTAAAGGTCATATGACTGTAGGGCTGAAATTTAGAGCCTTTGGCGGTTTTCGAGACGTGAAATCAAGAGCTGTTGTTTGTGTTTGAACATAGAAATTAGTTGACGTTGACCTAAATGTTGACGTCAGTGCGAAGGAGATCAATTTTGCCGTCTCTGTGCACTGATTTTTTATTCAGTTCGCCTTGAACTTTCTCTATACACTGTCATTGTGTTCTATTGCCCCTGAACGTTTTTTCTACACTGACATTATGTTCTGTTGAGCCTGAACTTTCTCTCTACACTGGCCCTGTACTAACCTGCACTGGCGACCCCGAGGCCGAAAACCAACAAAAGTCCAAGCAGCTTCAT